CTCTCTCTCTCTCTCTCTCTCTCTCTCTCTCTCTCTCTCTCTCTCTCTGGGCAAACGAAAGAATGGGCTTGTTTGCGGTGTGCCTACCTGACGACTACACGCACGAAAAACTGGCACGTACGCTCCGTAGTCAGGTGTAATCCCGAAGATATCCGGTGGACGTGGTCGAGGAATACCCCCAATGATCTCTGGATATGTTGACGACTCGCTTGTGAATAATAAAAGCGGTGTATACATGTCATACAGAAAAAATCACCTCTCTAAATGTCTCTTCTTTCGTAAAATTTTATCCGAAACATTAAATGAGCCTCGATGATCTCTGGATGTATCAGCGATTCGTTTGTAATTCAATCTGATGTCTTGTAAAATTTTTCGAAAACTATTCCTTCCTTTTGACGATCAATAAATAATCGTATAATAAATGATAAAATGAAGCATGTAGACAAAACAGACTCATTTCATCATTTCACCATTTATTATACGACTATTTATTGATCATCGAGGGAAAGGGATACCTTTTGGATACTTTAGTTTTACAAGTGTGCTCAAGCAATCTCAAAAGCTCTTTCGTTCATATCTATCCTTATTCAAAAACGGCACGCAATTTTCGTCAGAATGTCATTCCACGTTTCTGACGTCACAAACCTGACATGGTCGGCGAGGTACAAGGAACCTTAATGCAGTACACACTTGTGCTCTTTAGCGTGTACTTTAATTTCACTGATCGACCGTTTGATTGAAAAGGAAACTCTTTCAATCAAAGAGAAGAAGAGGGCCGAAATGGGGAATCCCTGACTCTGAAACCTCAGCACGCGTTCCGGATCGATCCCGCGCGTGGTAGTTAGGTGGATATACGAGCAAAAATCGCAGGCCAGAGGCAGCCGTCAGACAAACGACCGAAATTGCGGAGGAGCCTCCGAAGCGAGAAGCAAAATGTTTCGCTCCAGTTCCCAATCATCCGGCGCGTCGCGTTGAACCTCCTATTCTGCATGAGAAACAAAGTTTCCCCCGTGTAACTTATGAAAACGGTTGTACGCGAAATCGAACGTAATCGATAGGATGTAATAACCCAACGATGGGCTCAAGTCCCAATTTTGATCCTACTTTCGAACTCCATTTAACACCTGCTTTGCTACTTCGAAGCCTGTATCAGTCTCGTCTGATTCTATTTAACCTACTAGCTTTGCTGAGGAGTCTTCTCTAGAACTTGTATATGGCATTTTTCATGCGTTTTCTGCCATTTAGAAGCGCTAAGTAGAATTTTAGTTCCCAATGCATATTAAGCGTACATTGATTTTTCGAAATATATATTAGGATATTCAGGCAGTAGAGAATTAAAAAAGTTTAAAACTGAAATGCACTAGAATTTTGTCTCGCGAGGCACGAGAGCGAGAAATGACGGAGGAGGAACGCGAGATCGCTGAATCGTTCGAAATCAATCGCAAACTATAAGAATACGCTCTTTAATCACACAGAATTTGATTTATCGCACTTTCGCGTATTATAGCCGTCGCAATCTCTCATAATCACCGAGGATAATGGCTGATGCAAACGGCTGATCGTGGGACATTATTTTTCATTCCGTTTCGAGATGAAAATAGCACGACGCGGAAGCGGTGGTAATCGCTTTGTCGCCGTTGCTGGGCGACAATTGTCGTCGCTACTACCGCACAACGGCGCCGTTCGATTAGCCTGAAAGCGACTAATTTCCCTAATGAAACGTGCCGTAAAACGAGAACGATCAATTATTATCCTCGATGAGAGCTGCATCGCGAACACGCACCGTGAACGCGTGCTGCGAGACGCCGTGCGTTGCGCTTTGCGTCGTGGCGAGGAGGAAAAAAAGCACAAGGGAGACAAGGCTAAAAATATTGCACAGGCACGCACGAATCGTCTGGAGATATCCGTCCCGAGTACACAGATCGCAAGGTAACTCGGAAAAGTGGGTCGTCACTTAACCCTCCGCGTATACAGTCATATTTTTTCGGACTACGATACAATCCATCAGACCCGAGCAACTTTGAATTATCACGTGACTTTATTGAAAATCGATCTTCCTGGGCACATTTGTTGTCCAGAGATGCGGGAGAGTCTGAACTGACAGACAGCAGAGCGATGAAATCAATATTTGCAGGCAGATTTGCGCCTTCGCACTTCTTGCGAAAATTCTTTGCTGGAAACTTTCCCCTCACGAAACTTGATGGCCGCTCGAATATTCGTTCGGGTCTCGCAAAACTAATATTGTACACTAATATTGCGTACGAAGGTTGAATTAAGTGTACACACATACACACACCCTGTGAGTCACTCGCACGCGCTGTGGGATGATTAAAGTGCGAGGGTTTCATAATTAAACACATTTATTGAATCTTTTATTGGTACGAGTAACACATCGCCGCGTCGACCAGCGCGAGACGAATATACAACATATGTATGTATTTTCTTATGTATCTAAATATGTAGATACATACGCACGCACACACACGCACACACACACACACACACCTATATTTCAACATACTGCTGTGCACACACGTACGCGCACGCACATCTCGCGCGACTTGTGAAAACGATCGGAAGAAATGTTGTTCGCTACCGATCAGTAAGTTGCGCAAAACGTGAGTTGAGGAGAGATTTCGTGCACTTATTTCGTATAACTATCTCATTTATTTGTGTAACACGGGGCAACGATCATATTCGGAAAACTCAAGATTTTACGGCGGTTAATCATTCTTGTACTTATTACGTCATGTGACGCAATCACCAACCGACAAGTGTGTAAAATTATCCTCCAGCACGCCCAACGTGATGTTTCTCTTTTTTCTTTAAGTGATACCAAATGAATGACTTGCATAATAATATTGACATATCACCGAGTACTCTCTCTCTCGCATTCCTCGAGAAACCTGAATTTCCTTTTCCTTTTTTTAATAATCATATTCGGGAAACTCAGAATTTCACGGTAGTTGATCATTCTTGCGCTTATCTTACGTCATATGACACAATCGATAGGTGAGTAAAATTGCCATTCAGTACGTCTAACGTGATGTTTCTCTTTTTCTTTTCCGTTCAAGTCATACCAAACGAGTGACTTATGTAATAATATTGATATTACCAAGTGCTCCCTCCCTCTCTCTCTCTCTCTCTCTCTCTCTCTCTCTCTCTCTCTCTCTCTCACACACACACACACACACACACACTCTCTTTCTCACACACATATTTCTCGAGAAAAACGAAAATTTCTTTCTTTTTTTTCAACATTGTGTTCTTCGTAAAAGCTTCTATATAAAACTTCAAATAATAATGAGATGCGGTTTGTAAAGGATGCAAAATACGCAACACTATTCTGACAAATTGCGCGAAACGTTGATTGACGAGCAATTAATCTAGAACGAGTAGTCTTGGAAATTTGGCAACTGTAATCGAAAGTCCACGCGTAGAGCGGCAACCTGTCCATCCATCACCGACAATAAAGTCCGCTGTTTTTACTAACGCGTGGCTACAATTTACGTCAAACGACTTTGTGGGTAATTATTCCAAGCGTCAACGGAAGACAAACATTGATCCTCGCACAAACATCGGATAACGAGACTAGCGTCACACGACGCTCAATTTAAAAGAGTCCCATAACGAGAGAGCACCATTGACAATCTACAAACATTGGTCGATGTAAAAAACGAGAAAAACGTTGGAGAAAACCGTGTCACACCGACATACGACTGAATCTCAACTCCGAAATTCAGATTCGAGCGCGCGTCTTGAGAAAACGTATACTATAACGTTGAGTATCGAAAACCCATTGGCCAATTCGATCTCCATTAAAGGAAGCTCGAATCGAGAATATGGGATTTGTTTTGGAACTCGGATCGCGCCGAGCGGCCATGGAATTCCCCTCAGGGAGTCGAGGAGGATCGGATTTTCCTTTTACCAAGGGAAGGTGCAAATTCCTCGGCCGTGATCCGATTGTGACGTCGCACATGTAGTAAACGTAGACGCACATGTGGTAAACGTAAGAGGGATGCGAGGCGAGGTCTACGATCGAATACGCGTGAGCATCGTACTGATAGGCGCTTCAACAGACTCCTCCGACCTTTGTCTCAGGAGCTTAAGATAGGTCAATCGTGAACGACAGATAGGTACGTGGGGCATGTAAACAACGTTCCGCAGGCCGAAACCACGGGCCCGTCTAGAAAAATATAAGTGTAGAGCACACATATACAGGGTGGTCCAGTAGACTTTCCACAGCAGGTTCCGAGCACGGTTGGCCGCACAACCCTGAATCTCGTCCGCGTGAACGCGTCGCGAAACGCGATCACACATCCCAGGCAATACAATTTCATCCTTACGCGGAATCCTCTTATGTACAGCCTCGAGAAAATTCTTCTAAAACCGAAAAGAGAATATTCCAGCACCCAAAAAACAAGTTGCAAAACTTGCCGAAATAGTACTTCTCTTCTAGTGAAGAAGAACTGTGCCTAAAATATTTATGTTCAGTTTGATGAGTTCTGTCTGCACACGAGAGTATGTCAACAATTTTCAGATGCCAGATATAAGAGGATTCCGCTGAGGATGAGATTATATTTTCCTGAGTGCAGTTTTTCTTCTCGAAGAGCACGTGGAAGTTCCTGCGCGACTTTCTCCTCCTCTTTGTCGCGCGGAGAGTCCTCCTTGCGAAAACAATCGACAAAATCAACGAATCGTTCCCATTTGCGCGGCCAACATGTCGCCGATTCAATTCACTTCCGATTTCCGCTCGATCGATGAAGCGGCAACGATCGAATCGAGTTTCTTTGGATATCATTTCATCTCTCATGTGCACGTTTTTGTGCGAGATATATTCAAGTATATAAGACGCTACTGTGTGTTTTATAATAAATATCGATATTCATCATATGTCGCCAACACCGGTGGCGAAGTGTACCATCAACTCGCGATTTCCCCAAATTCCTCGTTCAACTTTAACAACTTATCGACCTAGTTGCTGCCTTCTTCGGGGCTCGAGGAAGTTGGTGAGCCGCATCGCACAGGAATTTCGCAAACACCGCTGCCCGCTGACGCTTTGCTATTCTAAACTTCGTGAGGCATTCGCGGCCACGCGGATTAAAACTTCCTGCACCGCGCTCGTCCGATTCTTAATCTGGATTTAGTGCGGACGCCCGGATGCCCACGACGACATCACGTTTAATGAATACACAAAAGGTACCGAGACAAACCGCTAATTTAAAGTTTAACTTCGTGTACTTTGCGCGTACATTCGTGATACACGTCGCTCTTTAACGAACATCAAGTTGAGGTAAAGAGAAAGTTATTTCGCGCGTATTTCTTTCTTCTGTCGCGCGAAGAAGCACCGTTCAATTTAACTACGCGTCCGTCACAATTCCAGAGAGGAATCGATCGCGCGGCGAATCCCACGAAGCGCGAGCGAACGCTTACATGTTCGACTAATTCGATTGACCGCGCACTAATATCGGGCTTGCACGGGGCCGATATGGGGAGGCAAGTCGAGCAACGAGCTATAATTGCACTTCCCTCGACAAAGGGTCTAAGAAAAAGTGAAAGAACGATAAAGGCGATAAACACGACAATGTCGTGTTTGTCGAGCCTTTGGCCTCCCCGCATTTGAGGCTTTTCTGCATGTACCGCGAAATGCGGAACGCAATTTGCAAGCTTGAACGCAAGAGGATTACACGTGACATTCGTCCAATCTATGTTCCTTAGGGTTTGTATTGACAGTTATCACCTGAAACTTGTCTCTCAGAATTTCATTCAGAGTTGGATCCAAAGGTTTCAGTTGAATTACATGATACTTGTGATACGTCATCTTGCATCCGCGAATTGCGTCTTGCATTTTGCGACTTGTAAGGACGAGTCTTTGAATGATGAGTGTCCTTATTTATTTAGCCTGCTACCTCTGCGCCTCGCAATCTGCCGATTCGAGGAGTCTCCCCGAAGGCGCGCGATCGATAGAGCCCACGAGTCCGATATCGCGACAAGGTAAGCAAGTAACGACTCGTTGCCACTTGACCTGCTTCCCCAACGACTTCCGTGTCCGTGCGTCCGCGACGTTGAACGCGAAATAATCGCAGTCAGATCCCCCGATGAGACGCGCTCATTGCCAAAAAAACGCGTATATTAACACGCGGGACTAAGCGAACCAAAATTGAGGCCCCTGAGAAAAGTGTTGGACCACAATCATACTTGATATATCATGATCGCTTATCAATGAAAAATATTTGTTCCCTTATTCCGTTCTCATTCGTGGCCCGCAGAAGAAACGACGGCCTTGCCGTATTCTTCGGCAAAAAGAAAATAATCGATCGCGTGACCTAAAATTAAAGTGATGGGAAATTATCTTTAGACGCGTTATCGGTGATATCGATTTCTATCCTCATTCTATCTTCACTGGCATTTACCAGCCGTTCACCAGCCCGCGTGGGCGCGATGTAGGCCTCCGATTTACCCAACGGCCTCAATTAATATACTTCGCTTACGTTTTTCTGTCTTCCTATCTCGTGCACAGGTAAGGCGTGTCTCGGTTGGATCGTCATCGTCGTCGTCATAGCACACGTCAGAACACGGAAACGAAACGGGGAAAACGCGACGAAGCTGTGACGTGTTACTCTCCAAATTTTTCAGAGTGAAATTTCACTCACAAAGTAGAGTGACTCACACTCGATTCACTCGTACAGAATGAATTATTCACTACTAATCGTCGAGTGAATGCTTTCAAAACTGAAGATTAAGGCTGACTCTCCATCGTCGCAGGAACATATTCATTTTATATATTCGATTGAGACATTCGTTTACATGGAACCAGAATCCACTTAGGGCCCCTTATTAATAATCATTGTCCCACGTGAAATATTCAGATCTGAATTTAGAATTAAGTAAGTTTTTCATACATTTGCAATCGTGATTTAATTGAAAAACTCATGTCTAACTCTAAATTAAAATGAGTGTCTCAGCTAAAGTTTCAAGTAACGATTATTAATACAAATCTAACCTTCCAAGTCTCGTATTAATAATCATTACTTGAAACTCGTCTTAAATAAGGTATTCAGCTTTGAATTTAGAGTTTTGCAGTCAAATCGTAGTCACAAGTGTAATGTCGCATATATCACATAATTTAACTGGAAAACTCAAATCAAACTTCGTATTCAGATCTGAGAACAATCTCAAGTAACAACTATTGGCCCAAGTTTCTAAGGCTTGTACTAATAGTTGTCACTTGAAACTCATCTCATGTGAAGTGCTCAGAATTTTATTCAGAACTGGATCCAAAGATTTCAGTTGAATTATGAATACGTGTGACACTGCATCTGCAATCACGATTCAACTGAATAACTCAAGTCAAATCTGAGTGCCTCAGTTGAGAGGAATTTCAAGCCTATTGATACAGTCATAACGTTCGCTCTTGCGATTTCGAGTGGCAGATACTTTCAATATCGTGTCGAGTGAAAATACTGTCACTTTTCCCTCGTTTTGAGTGAGATTCCACTCCGAGATATTTAGAGAATATGTTTCGGGCATTCTGTGCCCGAAAGGATAATCACACACTTCTCTCGCGGGGGAAGGGGGTACGGGAGGAGATAAGAAGATCGATATGATTCAGGAGAATGCTTAATCGGGCGACGCTGCAGAGAGACGAGCTGCCGCCCGATAATACAGGAGCACGCTTACCGTTTTATCGCATTATCGTAAGATTATATACACATCGACACATTCAGGGTTAACTGACGCTAAGTGTTATTAGTTAATTACCGGTTAATAAGTAGGCATTTTCAATTATATATGCCAAACGCAATTCACCGACGAGTAACGCTCGACTGCCGCCGCGATCGGGGGAGCGTCGGGGATGCAACCAGGTGGTCAAATCGACGGTAAACACGACGCTCGTGCAATTTTTGCTCGCGAGGATCGACCGGGAATCTGCCGAATCGCTCGCTCGCTCGCCAGAGATTTGACACGTTAACTGCCACGTCATTCATGTCTGGGCATGTAGCGCGTCAGTTTTCGCGGAGGCAACATCATCCATTTGTGGATGAAGATTTCGTTTACGGATTAGGAATGATTTCCCCGCATAGACAGAACATTATAGTTTTTTCTCAGATAAATTCTTTTCAATTTCACTATGTTTGTAATAGCGCAGGAGAATGACTATCAGTATAAATTCTATTTTGCTGAAGAACATAGTAAATCTTGCTAGAAAACAGCAAATTTTTTTCTGCAGCACATCTAAGTTCCCAAAATATAAACGGCACGTATGAAATGAAAGGGCAATCGATAATTGCGGAATATCAATCTATATAAATTTCAATTATTTCAGTTCTTAAAATATGTAAATAGCACATAGGAAATAATCAATTCCTGCACAATGTCGATTTGCTTAATCGCAAAGTTCTGCAATAATTTTTACTAGAAAATGATACCCGTACGTGAACATTTATAAGAATATAAATACCCAGCGAACACTATATTACATCAATGTTATAATTCCCCAGTCAATAATGTGAGTGCAACACAACATACGTTGTATATGACAGTTGCATCGCTGAGTGGGAAATTATAACGTAATGTTACTGTCTGTTGGTGCTTACCGTTGTAGTTTATTGATTTTACTGCTTCCACTCGTGGAAACAGCAAGATTGACGTAACACACCGAGGATTTGGGCCTGACGGGGCTCGCGCGTGCAATCAGCGTGGCGACCAACGTGTCAAATCGACGCGAGCCCCGGTGAAGTGACGGATTTTCATGCCGCGACCGAATCCTCCTCATAAATCCTCCATCAGTTTATCTATTTTCCCTATTCTCTCGGAGGTAATGGAGACGGTCGGCGCGAAGGTCGGTCGCCCGATTCCCGGTTTCTCGCGACTTGGGGCCGAATTTCGCGAGCTCGCTCGCACAAACGAGACCCGGGGCAAGTGGCGGCCGTTAATTCGTCGTCGGGAGAGAACGATGAGTTTTGCGTTTGACATAGGACACAGGTACAAGTGCGCCGTCGTCGATCTGTTCTGTCGCAGAAGGGAACACTTGAGCGCTCAGTTTCAATTCCTCCCTTTAAGTACGCGCGCGTCTCACTTGAATTTCGCGGACGCCGCGAATTCGACAGCGCTCGGCGACGTCCGGGATCACGACACAATTAACCATCCATCGTGGCGACGGCAACGTTTCGCCGTGTGCGCGCGATATCTCAAGCCGTATTTTTAGCCGGGAAAACATCGCGACCACGTTCAATCAAGCCGTCACGACAATCGAACCGTCACAGTCGCAGCCGCGGAAAGCGACGCGCAACTTGAAACGCGAGTTTTATCGTTAAGCCGTAACGAGAAACAAACGTTCGTCCTTGCGGCGGGACAACGCGCGCAAAAAGGGGATCCGCAGAGGAAGAAGGACACCACCGGCCGCTCAAGTGTCGCCTTCTCGAGTGTTTAACGGTTGGAACGACCAGTTAATCTCTATAGTGGAAAATTCTCATCCGCGGAATCACAGATAAACTATACAGCTCCCGGCACTACACACGTCATTTAAACTTCTGTCGCTAAACACCTCGTAAGATTGAGAGACACACATAGAATGCGCGCGATCGGGACTCGAGTCGCGCGCGGTAATCGCGACCGGACGATGTCGGACACGTTACTCGAGAGATTTTGGGAGAAGAGAGCTAAATAATACCAATTCAACCTGTTCCCCTCCCTGCCTTTCCCTTCTCTTTTTCTATCTCTCTCTCTTTCCCGCCGTGCTTAGTGTAGTATAACAAAATATAAATCTGAAGGCGACACATACGCGATACTCGCGATCACGCGCACGTACCATGACGCACAGGGCTGTTCGTTGGATCGAGTCGGCATGCATCCTGAGCATCGATCATGCATCCTTATCCTTCATAGCTCGGGAGAAATGAAAAGCTTCATTGAATTCGCCGATGAATTCGTCAATGAAACTTCTCACCCTTCGCAAGTTCCTTTCACTTGTCGCGCTGGAAGAAGAGACACATGATCGATTCTCTGAGCGACGAAAGGGAAACGAGAGCCAGCGAGAGACGCAACATCCAGGCTGAAAGATCGTCCGACCTGTCGCGCCGTCCGCGGGAGGGATCCCTTTGAGAAATATATATTTGCGACAGTTCACTCTGTCATCATTGCGAAAAGTGTTCGTCGACAGCGCGGAAATGACAGACGGGCCTCCCCCGATTGCGAGATCGCGCGTACGAACTGGGTGGAACGGGAAAACGACGAAGAAGCTCGCCCGGCGTAGGTATGCTGACGCGATCTGACCAACGCCCCGTACGACGCTTGTATACAGGTAGATATTTGCCTAATACGTACTCCTGCTTCCATAAAGACGTCCGGTATAGTGGAGTCGGTCCTTGTCTCTCTTTCTCCCTCTTTCTCTCTCTCTCTCTTTCTCTCTCTATTTCTCTTTCTCTCTCTCTCTTTTTCTTTTTCTCTGTTGCTCCTTAGATCTCATAATTGCGGAACTTACTGACGACCTCACTGGGCTCCTGACAATTGAACGGAACCCCGTGGCCCGAACGGTAATAGAGATTCGTGGCCCCACCCTCTGAGGCCCTCCTGTGTACGTTTGTGGGGTGGCCCCTGAGGTGAGCGGGCGAGCCGCCCGCTTCTCCGCTCGTGTCCGGCAGCATCCGATCCTTCGTCTTCGGCGTGCTCCAGTGCATGGTCTGGTGTGAGAGACAGCGGTAGAAGAATCGCGGGATTAATCGCGACAGAGACAGACGTGTGCGTGAGGATGAGATGCGATACGTGGCAAGGAATACGTGAAACGGGACGCGAAATAGACGATGAACCACGTTGGTCACTGTACAGGGTGTCCAGTAACTCACAGAGGAGCCGCGGCGTACAAGTAGATTAGGTCAAACTGAATCAAAAATTCCTCTACCATTTTGCGAACAAAAATAAAATTCAATAAAATTTTCAGCGATTAATCCAAGAAGATTCGTAGAAGATGATCACTGTTTGTCGCTGTATACTTGCATATTAAGTCAAACTGAACTGAGGAATGAAAAAGGTCTTCTACCATTTTTTAAATAACCACGCAGATGTTTAATTATTAATTGAAAAAAGATTGGTGTATTATCGCGCACAGCTGTACACGAAACTTCTTTAATTAAATCTTCTTTCTTAAGTAACCATAACATGTACGTGGTTATTTAGGAAGTGATAGACGACTTTTGTGTTCAGCTTAATATATAAGCATACAGCGGCAAACGCTATCACAGTTTACCTACTGTGATTATTTACAAATCTTCTTGGATTAGTAGAATTTTGTGTGTCCAATATGAGTTAATTCTATCTGCACACAACGGGTGTGTAAATAATTGTCAGGCAGCCTGTACGGCGCATTGTCCAGAGCATTGTGTACACAGAGGTGACGGCATCGATTCGTATGAATGATTTCATCTCACCTGCTGCACATGCTCCTTCATGCCGAGCCATTGCTTATAGCTGATCTTGATGCCGCTGTTCCGCCACTTGTCGTAGTTACTCCTCTTCTCGGGGTCGCAGAGAACCTCCTTCGCGTACTGCGACACACACAAAACGCAAATCAATGGTGGTGGATGCGTTCTACACTCTCCGGGAAGTTGACTTAGCTCAAAGAGGAGGGAGACCTCTTAGAAGAAAAACGCACCTTCAACAGCTGGAACTTCTTCTCGGCCTCTTTGTCGCCTTCATTCTTGTCCGGATGGTATTGAAGCGCCAGCACTTTATATTCCGCCGTGATCTGCTCGACCTGATTTGGTAAAATCGAACGGGAATTGGCTAAAGACGAGTCGAATAACGAGAATGGCGAGGGCGGAGATTAATCTATTCGGCGCTACGGAATCGCGCGCGTCCCGTCAGCTCTATTGTTCTTTGTTTCGCAATTGAAATAAATTATACAGTCGGGAGCGATGCGCAGAGATGCGCAGATTAGCGGGGCTGAAACGGAATCACGACGAGAGAGCGGCTTTGTATTTCCAGTTTCATTTTCTGATTTTCACTCCTCCGCACTCTACTCGTTCGTTCGCTCGCTCCCGTTCTCCCTCTCGATATTCAATCGCGCTGATCTCTCTAAGCACGCATTTGCATATATTCCAATCGCACGGTGCAAAATCGCGCGCGTAGTGGTGCTCGTCAACAGGAAACGAGAACGCTGTGAATACGCTGACGCGATTTATCGACGCGAGGCTGAACTTCTATCAAGAGCTCGACGGAGATAGCAATGGCAAAATGTAAACTCGGCGAAATTGAAAGGCGAACGACCTTTCCGTCGGTCGCATTCAACGGCCACCTGCGTGTTACGCGTGATCGTTGGAAAGAAAGGAGAAGAAGATGAAAGAAGATGATGAAAAAGGCGATGATGCGCCAAGTGATTGAATTGTAAATTTTGGCGCGTCGTTGATCTAATGTCGTTTTGCATGAAACATCGCGACGACATTGACCCAGCAAAACAAGGAAAGCAACCGACCGTCACATTCACCAACGGCGAATCGTTGTAATCGTTGGTGATCGAGGCGACGAATGACGTGTCAATGACAAATGAAACAATCTCGCGCTCGATCGAGAATACGATTCGCGATCTCGACGGCAAGATCGTTGCGCAATTCGCAACTTCAGCGTGTCATACTGAGCCAGGAGCGAGTGATACTGCAATGTAATAGTGTCGATAGAGAATTCAATTAATGGAGAGTTTAAATTGCACAGTCCTTGGGGGATCCGATTATTGCGGGAGCGACACGGCGCTCTAGTTAAACTAGAGCGCGAGATTAATTTTATGCGCAACGTTCTCAGATTTGATCAAGCGGAGCACCTACGAACCAGCGTATTCTCGCAAGCAGAAAACAATTAAGAGCGGAGAAGATGTTACATAAACGCGACGGGAGATACTCGGCTGTAGAGTCACAGCGGGGACGCGAAGTGTCAATTTGAGACGCGTTCGATATTCCAAATCGTCGCAAGCGATCGACGTAATTAGCGAGCTACATGTGTACGTTGGGTTGCAAGACTGTTCATACTCAACAAGGAATTGGAAACTCCCCAAACTGTTACAATTGAGAATCATCACCGACAAACACTCTTATGCAATAATAATATAATTAATAATATAATTGAGAACACTAAATATAATAATGAATAATATATATAATAATAATACTAATAACAATAGATATAATAATTAATAATATAACTGCTGAGCAAGAGCCCGTCGCAGTAATGACTCTCAATTCTAACAGCTTGGTGTGAATCTCCGTCTCTTCGTTGCATCTGAGTCATTTTGCAAACCGCTGTACATTTGACATTTCCACGACAATAACCGATCGTTCCCGCGACCTTTCGCGAGCCTGTCCCGAGCGTCGTCTTGTTGAGACACCCGAACGCGCCCAACACGAACGCCAGACGAAAAGTCCCACGTTCGACGACCGAGACCCGCCGATTTCGCGAAATATTTTCACTGCCAGTGCGCCGTCGTGTCTCTCACCGTGGAAGATTCATCGCAGGACAACAGCGCGTAATAGTCCTCCTCCTCGCTGGGCGAGTAATTGATGGCGTCCTCGACACTCATCCCGCGACTCCTTCCGAGACCCTCGCTCGCGGCTGCTCTGCGACCTTCGCCCTACGGTGAATGTACGCGCCAAACCGCGCTACTTGATCGCGAGCTCCGCTCCGTGGATGGCCCGCTCCGTAGGACCCGGTGACCCGGTCGAGATCGAGATGCCGTCACCTGTTGCCGTGAGTGAGCCCGTGAATGGCACGTCGCCGACTACCCGCGTTCGCTGTGGTGCGCCGAGTGAGGGGAAAACCGTGTCGCCGAGACCCGGAAAGACCCGATTCCCGGGGAATTCCACGCGACTGCGTATTCGAAAAGCCCGAGCCCGCATCTCTCTCTCTCTCTCTCTCTCTCTCTCTCTCTCTCTCTCTCTCTCTCTC